TTCAGATGATAAATTATATAAAAAACTGTCCGAATGTTCTTTTTATCCGAGCGCTTTCGGCCATTTTCAAGGATTAAATATTTTAACTGTTAAATAAGAAATAGTTTGTTGCATGTATGTTTTATAAAATGTTTTCATTTTTCAAAACACGGTCAAGATATTGTGTCCATGTTCATAGTTAATATTATTAAGTGTTTTTTTTTCATTAATAAGACTTCCATTATTTTTAGCCTTTTTTTTTTGCATGTAGATGATGCTATTATATTAGTGTTGTCAACAAGTATGTTACGAATAGTGTCCGGTAGGTCTCCGTGAATATTTAAATGTGTGTGTATGTGTACAGGGTGCAATGGGTATATTGGCGCCCTTTTATATTTTTAATTTCGCGCATGAGCGTTGTTTGGTTATGTTTTGATTTTGTTCAATGCCAGTATTGTAGGGTCAGTTGGGCACCGTCTGCGACATAAAAGCACCATGACGCAAAAAATGTGAAAACTGTATTGATTGGTATTCCAGCCGGAAGTTCCAATACGAACATTTCAGAGTATATGGATGCCAATCTAAGAACAGGGCAGAGGATTTTGAAATAGTTGGATGAGTCTACTGGTGATTACAAAGGTACGTTCTGATAAAAAAAAGAACCCCCGAATTTTTAGGTGAAGTTCTTAGCCTCAACACGGAGGCCTATATCACAAGAAGGTGGCTGCTGGGAGACTCTATGTCTGGCAACAGAACTCTGCACCATGCCACCCGAACAGGAGAATCCAGTCATGGCTGTCAGATAATTTCTCTGACTACATTACTCCTTACATCTGACCACTTAACTCCACAGAGTGCAATCCCCTTGATTATTATGTGTAGGGCGCTATTAGGCGAGATACTAAGAGAACTCCTTGTAACACTAAAGATGAACCGAAGACAAGGGTTATAGCAGCACTCAACAAGGTATACAATAGATCTTCCAGATGCAGGAGATTCTGAAGTCATCTGCAGGCCATAATTGAAGACAATGGCGATTTTATTAAATAAATTCACTCTTTAGTATTTCAAGACATTTTTGTATAATTTTGGTAAATATACCTGTTAAAATGAGATATCAGTAATATTTTAATTTTTTTTTTTTTGCTTAATTTAGACGACAATTTATCCTTCGCAGCCTGTATACTCGGAACTTTCCATGATACTTTATCTTCTTCGAATATCACCTGTCTCTTTCCGAAAAGACGTAATGCTTTCCACTTGATGCCAATGGATTAATGGCGCCAATGAGGATTGCACTTCATCACGTTGTTTTCATTAATGCTCGAAATGCCTTGTAACATCTACAAAATTACCATAAATATTTACTTTGTAATATGTGGCAAGATTGGCGCCAAATACGAGCAACGTGTGACTAGTTTGGCGGTAAATCCGGGGAATGCTACTAAAGATTTAATTCGTATCAAAAGTATGGCGGAATATTATATTCATAGTTAGGGAAATAAACATGATATTCTGTAACGATTTTATTTTAAAGATTGATGGCAGTATTCACCAACTTAAACAAGGAGGCTGTCCAGAATAGTTGCTGGAGATTTCGAAGTCGTCTCGGAGCAGTGGTCGAAGCCAATGTTGTTTTTATTCAATACATTTACTCTAGTATTTCACGATATTTTTGTGTAATTTGGGCAAATATACCTGTTAAAATGAAATGTCAGTGTTATTTTCATTTTTGCGTAATTTTGACAACAATTTACCCATCGCAACCTATATCTATCTATCTATCTATCTCTCTCTCTCTCTCTCTCTCTCTCTCTCTCTCTATATATATATATATATATATATATATATATATATACAAAGGTAAGTAAAAATTATCCGCACTTCCGCCAAAACATATCGTTATGTTTGTCACAATGCCTTTTTATCATTCGTGCTTATATTTGATTCAATCGTGGTCAGTTGATCGAAGTTTGGGCTTAATTGCGTCCGTTTTTTTTTTGCTGCTGTTACAATGTAAACATGGCTGCTCCTCAAGCAGTGTGCATCAAGGAGGAACATAGATCAGTGATCCAATTTCTCTGGTCGGAAGTTGTTCTGAAATTCATCGGAGGCTTTTAACAAAGTACGGCGACAGGGAACTACCGCCTAGAAATGTGTATCAGTGGATGAAGAAGCTTTAACAGTGGCTGGACAAAGTCGATCTACGAAGAAGAAGCAGGACGCCCGTCAACCTCCCCCAATGATAAGAAGATTCAATAAACTCGAGATATGGTAATGGCGAGCTGATGAGTTCCCATCGATGAGGTAGCATGTTCGCTGCAGATTCGGATCACTGCTTGTAGATGTAACCGTAAGTTCTATGCTAACAGTTTCTTCTAGTGCACTTCCCGATTTCGGGCTCCATGCTTTCTAGTAAACTTTAAACGCAATGTCAGTCGTTATCATCTTTCTTCATGATCCCTGTTTCTTTATTGTTCTCCCACCCTGATAATAGTTTTATTTTTCTTAAGTTTTCAAACTCAGTAACCCCTTGTGTCTCAGTGGCTTTATTTCCTTGTTCCGCGTGTAATGACACACACACACACACACACACACATATATATATATATATATATATATATACAGTGTAACCCGGATATAAGAGACCCGGATATAAGAGAAACTCGGATATAAGAGAGATTTTCTAGTCCCAAATTAGAGTTCTAAACAAAATAGTCCAAACCGGATATAAGAGAAACCGGATATAAGAGAGATTTTCTCCGGTCCCAAATTAGAACCTAAACAAAATAGACCAAACCCGGATATAAGAGAAACCCCGATATAAGAGAGAGATTTTCTCCGGTCCCAAATTAGAGCCCATACTTACCTAAATAAAATAGACCAAACCCGGATATAAGAGAAACCCCGATATAAGAGAGATTTTCTCCGGTCCCAAATTAGAGCCCATACTTACCTAAACAAAATAGACCAAACCCGGATATAAGAGAAACCCCGATATAAGAGAGATTTTCTCCGGTCCCAAATTAGAGCCCATACTTACCTAAATAAAATAGACCAAACCGGATATAAGAGAAACCCCGATATAAGAGAGATTTTCTCTGGTCCCAAATTAGAGCCCATACTTAAAAAAAAATAGACCAAACCCGGATATAAGAGAAACCCCGATATAAGAGATTTTCTCTGGTCCCAAATTAGAGCCCATACTTACCTAAACAAAATAGACCAAACCCGGATATAAGAGAAACCCGGATATAAGAGAGATTTTCTCTGGTCCCAAATTAGAGCCCATACTTACCTAAACAAAATAGACCAAACCCGGATATAAGAGAAACCCCGATATAGAGAGATTTTCTCTGGTCCCAAATTAAACCCATACTTACCTAAAAAAATAGACCAAACCCGGATATAAGAGAAACCCGATATAAGAGAGATTTTCTCTGGTCCCAAATTAGAGCCCATACTTACCTAAACAAAATAGACCAAACCCGGATATAAGAGAAACCCCTGATATAAGAGAGATTTTCTCTGGTCCCAAATTAGAGCCCATACTTACCTAAAAAAATAGACCAAACGGATATAAGAGAAACCCCGATATAAGAGAGATTTTCTCTGGTCCCAAATTAGAGCCCATACTTACCTAAACAAAATAGACCAAACGGATATAAGAGAAACCCCGATATAAGAGAGATTTTCTCCGGTCCCAAATTAGAGTCCTAAACAAAATAGACCAAACCCGGATATAAGAGAAACCCCGATATAAGAGAGATTTTTCTCTGGTCCCAAATTAGAGCCCATACTACCTAAACAAAATAGACCAAACCCGGATATAAGAGAAACCCCGATATAAGAGAGATTTTCTCTGGTCCCAAATTAGAGCCATACTTACCTAAATAAAATAGACCAAACCCGGATATAAGAGAAACCCCGATATAAGAGAGATTTTCTCCGGTCCCAAATTAGAGCCCATACTTACCTAAACAAAATAGACCAAACCCGGATATAAGAGAAACCCCGATATAAGAGAGATTTTCTCTGGTCCCAAATTAGAGCCCATACTTACCTAAACAAAATAGACCAAACCGGATATAAGAGAAACGCCGATATAAGAGATTTTCTCTGGTCCCAAATTAGAGCCCATACTTACCTAAACAAAATAGACCAAACCCGGATATAAGAGAAACCCCGATATAAGAGATTTTCTCTGGTCCCAAATTAGAGCTCATACTTACCTAAATAAAATAGACCAAACCCGGATATAAGAGAAACCTGATATAAGAGAGATTTTCTCCGGTCCCAAATTAGAGCCCATACTTACCTAAACAAAATAGACCAAACCCGGATATAAGAGAAACCCCCGATATAAGAGAGATTTTCTCTGGTCCCAAATTAGAGCCCATACTTACCTAAACAAAATAGACCAAACCCGGATATAAGAGAAACCCCGATATAAGAGACTTCTTCTCCGGTCCCGACAACTCTCTTATATCCGGGTTACACTGTATATGAACTTCACCGTGTCCTTGGTGTTATAGGCTCGCTGATTTGTGTACCTCTGGACGACTCCCCAGGTGCAGCAGTGAAGGAGATTCAAATAATGAATGTAGAGACCAACTGACCTGAAAATTCTCGTACAGGTACTTCAGCTTCACGTGTACATTAAATTGTGACTACCTCATAAAGTCAACCCAGCTTTCTTAGAATAGACCTGTGTATAGGTTTGTTTAATCAAGAATAAAGCCTTGGGTTTGATTGTGGTCTAAGAATACATGCTTAAAATGATCAGCCTTAAATTAGAATGATGTGACACTCCGCTGGACTGGTTTGATCACACAAAGGTGAACACGTAAGAACTCCCACTGGACCGGCATACACAGTCAATTACGAACACGCATTATCATCTGATGCCCACTTAGACATACAAGAATCTTCACAAACTTACATACATATATGTATCAAGTGATCATGATCTCTTTAGGTATGAAATTTTCCGTTACCATAGAGTGTTGTTTTTGTTTAAGACCACATTATTTCTATCTATCTATCTATCTATCTATCTATCTATCTATCTATGCGTGTATGTGTACGTATGTGTGAATGCAGAAAAACGGTTTCCAAAAGTGTATTCCCTTTCTTGTTTTAATAAAACGAAAGTTGGGATTAAGGTTAACAAGGTTCCTTTATAGGAAAATACAGTCTTTTTTATTTTTATTTAGCTGTTTCATTGTCCTTTGTTGAAACTGGAAGGTGAAAATATAATTCCCTCTCAATTGTGTGTCTAAAGGGATTAAATTAAAAATTACTATTTACATATTTTTTTTTTCTCCATCCCATTTTCTTATAAACTGACAGAGTTGGCATCACTGTCTGGGATTCATTTCACAACTCCTTTCCAACCCTCCATATATATATATATATATATATATATATATATATATATATATATATATATATATATATATATATATATATATATGTGTGTGTGTGTGTGTGTGTGTGTGTACAGAGATAAAGGAATTATAAAAAACTTCTATTATACAGAGCTTCCTATATTTTAGCTGAAAATTCTTAAAAATGAACTTAAAAACGAAGGCGGAAAGAAGGTTTAGGAGAACTAAATAAAATTAAAAGAGTGGATGAAATAAATAAATTAATGGAATCGACTGATGGGAAACTAAACAAATAAAACCAATGTCGTAAGAAATTGATTGAAAACGTACATTTGCATACAGAAACACAGACAGACAGAGACACGCACTCACACAAACAAACACATAGGCACAGGAAACAATAAAGTAAAGATGCAAATAAATATCTCTAGACGAGATTTCCAGGAACTGAACGAGAATTATTTTAGATATTGCCATTTCGTCTTTTCCAACCTCCCAATAACCAGCCAACCCCCCACCTCAGAAAGCACTCAACAAAATCCTTCCACTTTAACTTCTATCCAATTATCAAAACTGTTCGCTGAAAAGTCTATGTTGAGAGGGCAAGTCTAAAATAATTGGCAATAGAATCATATTTCGTTCTTGTAGTTTGTTTTATTTTATTTATTGACTGTATCTGAGCCTTGGTGCTTGGCTCTTTTTACTAATCATTCAAAATTGTATTGCTTTCAGAGCTTATCTTCACAGACAAAATCGTGACCGTTTAGGACGTTTAGAACAATCATGTTTTCTGGTCTCGAACGAGGGGTGAATAGAAAAACACAAATCTGAGTTTTGAACACAACTGATTAAAGAAATCGAGAACGAGGCGCTGACTTTTCCTGCATAATATCACATATAACATGGCCGACTCGAAATGACAGTTTAAATATTTGTTCGAGCTTTACTTCTATTTCCATAATCAGCATTAAGACCAATTTAATAATTCTGCGTAAAATATTGGATTGCAACAAACATTCGCAGCGTTCTTAAAAACGTGGCGATTGAACACGTGATTTACTTCCACGCGTTGTTTGTTGATTGGTTGATTTTGCATAGCGGCCTATCAGCCTCTATGGGTTATTTATTACCGAAATTTAAACATTTTGAACGCAATTATATATGCCTTCAAAAAAATATATTTTGAACGCAATTGTATGCCTTCAACTACTGGAATTAGGTTGGGGCAAAAATAATGACGTAATAATGTCGTTTTTGACGTTTGTTTTAACGTCAAAAACGACATTATTACGTCATTATTTTTGCACCAACCTAATAAAATGTATTGTCGGCCATTTTGCTATGAAATTTATTGCTGGTACTTTTACTATAACTATATATTGTTGTCGATTTTTTTTTATATTAAAAATTATTTTATACTTTCATAGTGTTTTATTTGTGGGTTTTACTTTTTGCCTACAACTGGGACTAAATCGATTAGGTAACAACAGTAATTAAGAGGCCTCAAAACCTCCAGTCTACCGATCAGAGGCCTTATTGTAGAATGTAGTTTATCGTCATATCTTATACTATCACACGCGACTGAAAATTATGAAATATATACATATGCTGGTAACGTTTCAACGCTTATTTTTTTATTCGTATGGAGTGTGTAGATTTTAAAAGTTTTTACGTTAAAAGTGAAAACGGGAGAAAATGAGATCCGTTTTCTCAATTTGATACTCTTTTATGCCTGAAAAAAGCAATAAAAAATGCAGAAAAAACAGTAAAATATATGTGCCGTTTATGTAGATGGTACCATAGCTGAGAAAACTGTTCCTGAGTGGTATGTTATGTTCAGATGCGGAAATTTTGATTTGAAGAGCCGAGAACGTTTCGACTGATCTGCGGTCATTGATGAAGATTAAATTGAAATGCTGATTAAAAACAATCCAGTTTATACGACACGGAAGATCTCAGAGATACTCCATATATCTCATACGCACGTTGTAAGGTTAGTGAAATTTGACTTGGACACGTGAATCGCTGCGATTCAAGGGTACTGGAAGCTGCCTTCGCAAAATTAGTCTTTGAATTCAGACAAGTACTCTTCTCAAATTGAGCCAATAAAAGGGAGAAATCAAATAAAAATGATCTAAGATTGACCAATCAGAACGGTTTCGTCTTCTAGCAGGACAACATCTGGCCTGACATCTTTTGACGGCTCAGCAGAAATAGCTACAGCTTCGCTGGGATATCCTTCTACAAACTTGTAGCCAACTTACCTTGAACTTTCGGATTAGCATTTATTTCGATCATTGGAAAATTAACTCAATGGTGATAGTAATTCCTTGGAAACGTGTAAAAAACACAGAGCAATTTACCAGCCAGAATGATGCCAAATTATATATATATGGTTGAGTTCTTAAGCTGAAAACTCACCTGGGTAACCCTTTTAAAATAACGGCACCTGACACTGCGACACAAGTGTGCCAAGACCCCTGAGGTCTGACAAGATTTGTTTCACGCTGACTGTAGGGCATCAGTTGTCAAGAAGGCGCTGTGTAAGCTGGTGGTGGTTACATAATGGTATGGTGTGAGGTGGGTTCATGTACTATGGGCTGAGTCGGTTTGTCGTCTAACCATCTGATTGTGTATTGAGTGTATTTTACTCTGTTTCATGAACATTTCCGCCCATTCACTGTCTCCGTGTACATCTAAAAGAATGGATACGATAAGGCAATGTTTTGTCGAGCACTAGTCTGGCCCATCATTGGTCCGAGCAGTGATCAAGAGAATTTCAACCATTACATTCGACGCACCCAATTAAATCGAGCACTGATGGATCGCGGTAGAAAGGTTTACTTGCAAGTAAAATTTTGCAGCGAAAAATCTCAAATATCTGTGGATACCTATCGAGATGGCATTGCTTAAAATATGTCTCACAATCGTGGGATTGATGTCATCTTAAGTTACTGAAGCCTTAGAAGACTAGAATGGACGATGCATAATACTATAATATTTGGCACGTTTCATCTCTGCTCTCTCTCTCTCTCTGTATATATATATATATATATATATATCTACGGTGTATGCCTGAAGGGTAATGAGACTGGTTTCACAAACAATTTATTTAAATTCAAAACAACAAACTAGACGGTTTCCCTTCAAAGAAATCCCTTTCGAGTCTGATACACTTTACCATCCTTCTCTGTCACGCTTCTATCGACTCGGTCAGTTATGTGCCATGCTTGATACACTCTTAGGCAATCATGTATCTTTGTGTATAGATACCTGCTTGATCCTGATTTGGGTTGACTCAGAGAATATAGTTTCCATAGGCCACCCCATAACCAACAACAAATTCCGCGGAAGACTGAGACTAAGGTGTTTGTTTATTTCTCATCTCTTTGAAATGTCCGAAAACTCTGACTTTAATAATCTTGCTCTTCAATTTTATTAGCTTCAATCAAAGTCTACTAATAGATACTAAAATATATATATATATATATATATATATATATATATATATATAAACTCACACATATATATGTGTATATATATATATATATATATATATATATATATATATATATATATATATATTAATAAAAACAGACCACTTTTATGTTTTTATTCAAACATATCGGCTCTGAATTTTACATTGAGCTCTCCGGATTTCATCCTCCTTGGGTCTACCCATGCGGATTACCTAGTTTTGCATAAACTATATGTTGAAACTTGACTAATGCGTGGAATAATAATGCAACACAAAATGTACTTAGAAGAAAATGTATTGAAACAAGAAAGTGTACACAATATTTACATATAGTCTTTTGTATATTCCTGGTAAGATCGTTACTGGAGAATGTGTTGACTGAGTCGCAGTCGGTTAGAGTCTCTGGTTGAATCTCTTGATTCCTGTATTTATCTATCCACCCACGAGGATAAAATGTGGCACAAGGCCGGTTTAAAGTGGGTGTCTCCGAGCCCGTAGACTCGGTCAAAAATATGGCCTTTCTGAACCCGCCTAGACGGGTTCAAGGCCTGTCTACCACCCCGGACGAAACCCTGCCTCTCGGCAAAGCCTCGTCCAGGTCCCTCACTGCAAAATGCAGAGAGTTCGACTGAGTGAATCTCTTGATTCCTCCCTCTCTTCCCGGTACCAACCATATTTATATGGTTGGTACTCCTATCTAAATTAGGTGGATCCCTATTAACACACCCTATATACATATATATATATATATATATATATACTGACACATGGTGCGATGGGTAAATTGTCGCCATTTTTTACTTTTAATTTTGCGCATGCACGTCGTTTGTTTTAGTTGGACACCGCCTGTGAGAAAAAGAGTACCATGATGAAATTCCCCCCCGGCAGAAATTTTTAAACGGCATGCTGTGCTGCTTGGTATTCGAGCTTGAAGCTACAATACAGACATTTCAGAGTGTTTGGGTGTCAATTTGAGAACAGTGTAGAGGAATCGGAAAGAGTTGGATGAGTCTATTGGTGACTATGAAGGTTTTTGCAGTAATCCCTAGTGACGTTATGTCTGCATACATCTTCCCACAGGGCCTCAGAATCAGTAGGTATGCCTTGAGGAGATAGTATTGCTCTGAGTCAAGAGGGTAAATGCTGGAAGATCCTATGCCTAGCAACAAGATATTGCAGCATGCCACACAAGCAGGAGAACTTATTCATGGCTGTCAGATAATTTCTGCGACCATATCCCACCTTACATCTGGCCAATTCCCCAGACTGCAACCACCTTGATAATTATGTGTGGGGTGTAGTTGAGCGAGAGGTCAAC